AACGAGGCGAGCTGTGGATAAATATAACAAGAAAATAGACAACACATACACATCACATCCACAACACACACCACGCACAACACACACACACACTACACTACTCACACACCAACACATCACACACACATCCCATACACACACACACACACTACAACCAGCACACACACACACAACACACATTCGACATCAATACTACATCACAAAACACCACACACACATCACACACATACACACAAGAGAGAGAGTAGAGACAGAGAGAGGAGATGACGAGAGATTCGATGGGAGAGAGAGAGACGAGAGATATGAGAGAGAGAGAGATAGCAGATGAGACTGAGACGAGAAAGAAGAGATTGCGTGCGTTGTTCGTATATTTGAATTTACCTCTGGCTCTCCGGATTCAACCTCATTTCGTTTATGTTCTACAAGTCACGAAGCTAAGAAGATTTCTGTCGTTAGCGCAGCTTCACGCAATATCACTACTCCTTCACCTTTGCAACTCTTCTTCTAAGCCTTCTCCAGCTGTTCGTGGAGATATGCTTGTCTCGGCTTCCTCTGTCAATGCTCTGCGGTCTTTCCGTGGACGCTTGCGGCGGGCGAGGTTTTAGGTCCAATCCTACGGGCCAAAAGATGATGCTCTCGAGCGATGTCGCATTGACGAGTGTGCTCCCGAGAAGATCATGAATAACCGAGTCGCCATTCTTAGTACGTTCTTTAACGAAACGGCATTGTCATGGTTACATGGTTCTTATCGTCTCGAAGTAGCCTGAGAATAAATCAGAAAGTACATAACTTAGCGGTCGAGACAACTAACTGCGATAACCGTGATGATTTATACTTTTATACAACTACGCATCATTAGTATTATTATGTACATTGTCATCTTATTTTTTAATTAATGTTGTATATAGTTGACGTCGCTCGATATGCGCAATCAATGACCCAAAAATCAGATAACATGGATTAAGACTATGGTTGCTACGCAGTCAATACGCGCCAGTGTACATAGACTCCGCGCCTCTCTCAGACTTATATAAAAGCCTTTGCATTTATAATGCTCCGAGAACTCATTGAAAAATTAGTGTTCATCTCACGCGTAATTCGAGTATTTATATTGAACAGTGTTAGCGAAATGGAACGCTGTAGACACTACGCCGGGGCTCTGCACTTTACTCGTATTAGTACCAAATCTCAATACGAAACACGGTGGCTACTACAATCGGGGTCACGACACGGACAAAAGATGCTACTATCATGCCAGCGCTCGGACTAATAACACTCGGCGCAATTCACACACCGCACAGAGCGATTTGCCATCGTAAGCAACACCTCACACTCTCTACACTCACCCACACACACACTACCGCTGCTCCGCGCAGCAACCACGCTTGTACGAATATTACACGCGAGTACGTACAGCAGGACACGCCCGGCACGTCCGCACGCACGACACTAACGCACCAAATTATAATAATCTCCTTACTTTGCTACAAGTCTCCAGTTATTTTGTCTTGCTACGGCTGCAACAAGACCGGTTAGTGAATGGCAGTCACGTCGCTCAACATCGCTGCTTCCGTCTGCTCTATTCCTCCTCATTCCCGCGTTCACGGCAATTCTCTCTCTTGTTCCTTCTCTGTCGGCGAACATCGCGCCGTCCGATTTAGTGCGTACGCTTTAAACTATGTTGTTATTAGCAGCGTCTCTTTCACTTTCCAGTGTTATACACGAGATATTGCGTCCGCGCGCAACCGCAAAGTTTGACAATGGTCGCACAAAAAAAAGACGCCCGCGTACTCCGGCGGGATGACTAGTAGCATTTCCGCGCTCTCGCATCTCGCCTTCGGCACAGACGCGCTGTCGCCGCGCAAGATGAACGCCAACAGTCATTATCTGCCTATTATCTACTTCTGATATATATATATATATATTCATATTTCGGTGAGCAGTCGTCCCTGTTATTAGCTTTAGTTCGAAGGCTTTTTCTATACGTTATATATTTATGCGTTAGTTAGGCTACACGTGAAGCCGCTTTGTTTTATTCGTGGAATTATATGGTGCATGTACTCGGTGAAATCAGAGAGCCTGTGGGCAAGTGGTTAGTCCACTACTGCCCCCTGTAACTCCGAAGGCGGTGAGTTCTAAACCCCGGCCGCGGCAGTGAATTTTCTCAAGGTGTAAAAACCTGGCTCTCAACATTGAAGACTGTGAATCTTCCGTGGCTCGGATGACCACGTAAAATGGCGGGCCAGTTTCCAAATTGTTTTTATTAATTTTATTCTTACAAGGCACTTACTACCTTATCACTATATCCAGTGTAGTGGACACCGACAAGTACGAGAACATAACATAACACAACAAAGGGCAAGGTTTATTCATCTAATGAATATGTGCATAGACTGGCTTTAAAACATTGTAAATGAGTCTAAAATGAGTTTAAATTAAGTAAACTATTATTGATTGAGTCTACTATCGCTGTTTATTTTAAATTCTGACAAGTATAATTGTATATTATGTAGTTATGTAGAGGAATATATTTATACCATCATATATAATGAGTTACTGTATTAATGAGTTAATTATCCGAATTACACTATATAAGCACATTCAAATTCCGTGGGAGCGTTAGTACATAAAACCATTGTACCGGTCAGATACGGCTGACAAACACGTTTACGTTATTGGTGTATGAAGGAAACTGACTACGTACCATCAAGTTTTGCCGAACGATTACTGCTATTTATGTCAGCTGGCAAGACTGGTTTATTGTGTATAAATATATATATATATATATATATATATATATATATATATATATATACATTTATATATATATATATATCTATATATCAACTATTACCGGGTATATATACCTACAATTAACGGGTATTTATACCCACCTTTAACGGGTATATATATATACACCTACAACTTATAAGTATATATATCAACCATTACCGCGGGTATTTACACCTACCAATAACGGGTATTTATACCTACGACTTACAGGTATTTATACCTACCATTAACGGGTATCGGGCGACCGAAGAACGTTCCGTAAAGAAACGGATTCGGCGGCAGTGCGGAAACCGGCGCCTGCGGATTCGGAAAGTGTGTCGACTGCAGGTGATAGGCGAACGGCGAGAATCCGAGTCCGTACGGCGACGCCGACGACGCTGCCGACGGAATCCACGAGTAGCCGGCGCCGACGGGCGTGCGTATGAGCGGCGTCGGCTTCAACAGTTCAGCATGCGCTCCTGTCCCGCAGCGGTTAGCGAGCGTCGCCGTGCTGTCGTACGCGCCGACGACGTGCGTCGGCGATGACGACCGCTTACCGTCGCCGCGCTGCGCGTCGTGCGACAATCCGAGAATGTTCTTGATCGTGAAACCGGCTCCGGACTCGGTCGGCTGCTGCTGCTGCCGCGCAACGGCGACGGCGTCGGCTGGCGTCGACGCGCGGCTGCCGATGTCGGTGAGGTGCTCTCTCGCGTCCGAGTTCGAGTCGTCGGCGGACGAGGAAGGCGACGCCGACATTCTCACGCGAGATTCGCACGACCGAGATTTAATTCCTGTCTCGTGTTGTTTTTTGCTTAATCGCCGCGTTACCTGTGTTACTTGTACCGTGATTATACCTGTCCCCCGCGTGCGGCCGAAATCACGCCGCCGCTCACTACCTGCTTGTCGACGCCGCCAGGTAAACGAGTGGTGAACACGCTAACTAGGCGCCGCCGCGCATAAACACTTTTATATACGTGGAAAAGACGAATCGATAGTTTCGGCTAACAGGTGTAGCGAAATCTTTTAGAAAACTTCGGCCCGCTCTCGCCGGACTACGCCCACTCGCGGCGATTCTCGGCGCCTGATTGGTTGGCGTCACGCCCATCGCAGCAGTCGGCAGAATTCACGGCGCCGCTCTGCGGGGAGTATTGACGCGCTGCGGCTCCGTGCGCGCGTATAGCAGTATAGCGTATAGCAGACGCACGAAGCGAGCGTACTCGAATACGCTGCGAATTCACCTGTTTAGAAATGCGGGAAAAAAATTCGCGGCACTTTCATTTCCTTGTTACCGAAATGAATATCAAAAAAAAGTTCGCGCGACGATTGACTGATTAGCAAAACGGACATGTTTTAGCCGGTGTTGACCGAATAACTAGTTATTTTCTTATTTATATGCAGGATATAACTATACTTGCGTATTTTCAGACCTGGGTCGTGTTGTCAGTGCTTTAGAATTGCAGTTTACATTTATGTGTTTTAGCAATTGCACCTATTATATATTCTAGATCTACCCTAGTGCGCTATTCTAGTAAACATTCATCAACATAACAGATGCACATTTATAGCGATTACATGCGTTATTAGCAGTCATTAATTTCAGTGGATTAGTAGCAAAAAAACCTGCTGGTTAATAGCAAATGTCGACGATATCACTGTATGAGATATTGACACGAATATTTACACACACACACACACACACACACACACACACACGCACGTACGTACGCACGCACACACACACACACACGCGCGCACACACAGCAACAGGTGGCGCGGTTATCGATAAGGCAGCACCGTCATGACTCACCGCTCGAGCTGCTGCTGCTGCTGCCGACGGCCGACGTGTGGCCGACGACGAACACATAAACGCCGACGACACACGTCAGAAGCAGCGCTTCCTTCCACAGCCGACGTACCGACGTGTTGTGACCGATACATCGTCGGTGCACCCACCTCCATGACGTCATCGTCCTCGCTGGGGCACACGTCACCGCTCCCAGTCCTACGTCACTGCTGTCAGGCCCCTGTGTAACGTATAATGTATACTATATACTATATACTATATACTATATACGATATACTATATACGATATACTATATACTATATACTATATACTATATACTATATACTATATACTATATACTATATACTATATATACTATATACTATATACTATATACTATATACTATATACTATATACTATATACTATATACTATATACTATATACTATATACTATATACTACATACTACATACTATATACTATATACTATATATATACTATATACTATATACCATGCATTAACGGTGTACGAAATTTATATATGTATATGTATGTATATATATATATTATATACTATTCACGAAATGTACACACAAACACGCACACGCGCAAACATCACTGCGCTCAGGGCTGTGTGGAACGAATGTATTATAGTATACTAGTATATACTATATACTATGTGCGAAATATATATATATATATATATATATATATATAGAGAGAGAGAG